CGAAGCTCCTCTAATTGCAACCACTTTTACCTCAAGCGAGGTTAGAAAGGCTATTCTCTCCTTCAAACGCGATTCTTCACCGGGGGTTGATGGGTTTCGCCCAATATTCCTACAGGATCTAACCGCACCTTACATCACACAACAATGCGACGTTTTGGAAAAAATTACTCAACTCATCAACCGTATGCTTGCTGGAGGCTTACCACCCGCCAATATTCCACTCCTTTATGGAGCTAAACTCATCGCCCTCCATAAACCTAATAATGATATTCGCCCTATCGCTTTTGGGACCACTTGGCGCCGATTAAACGCAAAGCTAGTAGTGAGCAGAATATTGTTCACAGTATCCAATCACCTGTGCCCTAATCAATTAGGAGTCAACGTAAAAGGGGGATGTGAGGTATCCCTACACATGACCAGAATGTATCAACAAACAGACCCCAGTGACGATATCCTAATTAAAATAGATTTTTCAAACGCTTTTAACTCTCTAAAACGTTCAGCGTTTCTTAATCCCATCCTTACCCTTTACCCAGAATACTCGCAATTCATCTTCGATTGTTATGCTAATCCATCGCATCTTCAATTTGGAGATAGATTGATTCCTTCTAGTAGTGGAAAACAACAAGGTGACCCTCTAGGCTCCTTTTTATTCTGTCTGGGCATTAATAGCCTAATACAAGGCATAAATGACCAATGTAAACTAAACCTTCATAACTGGTATATCGACAATGGTATACTAGGCGGCTCACCCTGCGAAGTTATGAAGGCGGTCGAAATAATAAAATCCAGCGAGAGCAGTTTGGGACTGCGAATCAATAAAGACAAGAGCGAATATTGTCCTCTTGGAATCATCGACCTTAACTATGATCCTTCGTTCAATCATACACCATTGAACTTCTTAACACATCTCGGATCTCCAGTGGGTAAAGACGAGTCCTTTGTCAAGTTCTTCGCCGACACTCTACTAGAGATATCCCTTATGCGCGGTACACTATCTCGCCTCCCAGCCCACCAAGCGTTCTTTCTATTAAAGAACTACCTCCTAATCCCAAAAATTCTATATACACTCCGATCGTCACGTATCTTCCAATACGACGTCAACCTCGCTGAACACGAGCTAGAGATTAAACACCTCACAGAGGATATACTCAATCTCAAATTCGGAGACCTATCTTGGCTACAAGCCACCTTGCCAACCAAATCCGGCGGCATTGGCATACGATCGCCTTCCCTACTCTCTGTTAGTGCGTTCATATCCTCTCGCCTGTCCTGCGAGCCCATCATACACGCACTCACAAAACATCCTGACCCTTTACTTCCCCAGGCAATCGATCTATGGAAATCTCTTTCATTAGTCGATCCTCCCTCATCGGCACTGCAGAAGGACTGGGATAAGCCTCTAGTTGGCAACTCCGTTGCATACCTTAAATCGAGGAGCCAACCCGAGGACCATTCTCTACTCTTCTCCATTTCCGCAGACAGCGGGTATGAATTTCTCGAAGCTTTTCCATCGCGAAACCTTGACCAGCTCCTAAGCAATGATGAGCTATGTCACGCCATCGGTCTAAGACTTAATTGTGATATGGTAATACCCTATCACTGCATCCTTTGTCAAACGCCGGTCAACTCCAAAGGCCGTCACTCTTTACACTGCAAGCGCTGTAGAGGCAGATTCATTAGACATTCAAAATGCAAAGATACTATTGCCAGGGCCCTAAAATCTGCCGGTATCCCATCAACCCTCGAACCTACTGGACTCTACAATTCTGATGGTAAGCGTCCCGATGGCTCTACCATGATCCCTTGAAAGAGGGGGGAATTCCTAACCTGGGATTATTCATGCATCGATCCCCTTGCCCCTTCCAATATAAATAGAGATGCTCTAGTAGACGCCGAGACGAATAAACTCGCTAAGTATTCGCCATCCCTTCCGGCCAATTACACATTCCTACCACTAATCGCCACGACTCTAACGTCGTTCGGCTGCCCTGGCCTTCTTTAAAGAGCTGGGGAAACGGATCTCTACTAGGACCGAAGATCCCAACGAGGGTTACTACCTACGCCAAAGATTAGCCCTCAATATAATAAAATCCAATAACCTCAGCTTCATATTCTCAATGACTGATACCCCCTAATCACAGAATCGGCGATGAGAAGAGCAATTAAAAACAAGAGAGGGATATTCAGATGGAAGTCAACAAAAGAACCAAACCCTAATCACAGAATCGGCGATAAGAAAAGCAATTAAGAACAAGAGAGGAATATTCAGATGGAAGAAGAAAAACTGAAGGGCAAACTATGAAAACTCATAATTCTTTTAAATCATTTGCTCAATTTATTATATTAATTTACTATATATTTATTTATATTATTTAAATATATTATTATTTATCCTTAAAAAATATACTAACAAATGTGATTAATTATTTAAATAATAACTATTATCTAATTTTTTATAAATACGTTGAATTATATTATAATATAATTAGTTGGTTTTTGAATATTGTTAATTGAGTATCGCCGATTGTAAATTATTATATGCGTATGTTATGTTCTTCATAAATAAATAATAAAAAGTATATTTCATACTTAACAATTCTAATTTAAATGGTAATAATAATTTTATTAATTAATTTCAATTCCCCATAATATGCGTATGTTATGTTCTTCATAAATAAATAATAAAAAGTATATTACATACTTAACAATTATAATTTAAATGTAATAATAATTTTATGAAAATTCAACAGAGGCATATTTATCTTGTAACTTTTTTTTATCTTGAATAAGGAATACTTATACACTATCTAAGATCCATTTTTTTATAAAGAATCTGAATCTAGATTCTTTTTATGAGGATCTGCCAAAGTCTTTAACAACCTACCACTAAAATTAATTATGCAACCATCATTTTAATGATTCCTCCTTACTTTATATTCATCACTAGATGGCTCAAAGTAAGTTGTTACTGTTTGATAATCTTTAGTCTTCAATAGAGGCTAGATAAAAGTGTTATATAAATAATTATAAGATTTATATTTTATAAATAATTCGACAAAATTGCAAGAAATTTTAAAATACAACTGGTTTTTCTAAATTTATTAGTTTTCCGGTATTTCAATATCGGAACATGAATGATTAAATTATTAAACATAAACACAAATGAATATGAAAAAACAAAAATTTTTAGAGATTTATAATTTATTCTTAAATCGTGCTTATCCGATTAAAAACGCAGTCTAAAGCCTGATGTAACATATTATTTAACAAAGAACTCGGTTTTTGTTTAGTGGAGGAAAACTGATTGACGAAATAATAAATATTAATTAGGGAATAAATATTAGTAACTCAGGTATCACTTTCACCAAAACTAATCCTAATACATAATATATTCTTAAAATCTGTGTTTTTAATGAACGATTCTTAGAAAGATTCAATGAAAAGTATAAGAAAGGGTTGAATAAAAAATTAAATTCGTGAAATCAATTTAAACTTATTCTAATCTTGAGAGTTATCATATAAATTTATATAGGTTAAAAAAAAATTAAAAGCTCTATCATTGAATGTATCTTCTTCAATTAAAAAAAAGAGTAATTATTTAATATGGTCTTCATTTTTAAATCTCCAGTTTTAGATCCGAGTGATAGCCCTTCAGTTTTAATAAGGAAATATTCTAAGAATTCTGTAATTTTTTTGAACGTTCATCGTGAATAGAACCCTGAAAAGTAATTTTTGGGGGGTAGAGCCCGACCCGAGCTAAACATTTTAATTCCGATCTCGACCCGAGCCCGAACACAACTTTGGTAAAAACTTTGAAATTTTTCACCCCGTTTATTAAACATAAGTATTTCTTCCATAGTATAGATTTTCCATTTGTATTTTCTTTGGTCTCAAATTAAATTCTAATTTTAGCAGAAATTATTTTTAAATTTAGTATCCATACTATAAATATTTTTTTTTTAAATTATGAAAATCTGAAGCTATTAAATTGAATAAATCTTACATAAAACAAAAATCATCAATAGCTTAATATTCTAGATTTTATGTTGACTTAATGTAGAATATTAGTATATATATTTTTTTAACCTGATAAATTATAATGTATGTAAGTAATAGAGTTTTAAGTAGCCACAATACAGATTACGATCATAGGCAATTGTTGTGAATGGGATATCCGGTAAATTAACAAGTATGAATGCCATTGTGGATCTTATGTGGCATTACTTAGAATCAAATTATTATTAATGATATTTCTAATACTAATGGTGTGTTTTCAACCTTAAACAGCCTAGGAGGACCTAGTTCAAATGCTGCTTAGGCTATGTTAAACAAAAAAATATCGAAGATTAGAACCAGGACACAATCTAACTATTGTTATTCTAGTTCAATCATTTTCAAAAATTCGACTAAATAGCCCTAAAAGTAAGAGTAAAAAAACGAAAAAAACAAAAAAGAAACAAACGATTAAAACGAAGAAAAAAACAATGCCGCAAAATACTTATAAAAACCAAAATGGGGTTTCCTAATAAAAAATGGTATAAATCTATGTATTCCTTTTCTCTTATCTTTTAAGTTTTCATTCTGAGTTCCTTTTGCGATTAATTTTTGATTCCGCATATCGCGCAAAAATAGCAGCACACACTTGACATGAATGTAGCGTTTCGCAAATAGATGGTAGCATTAAATAAATAAATATCTGGGTTTTTAATTTTTTAAAAAAAATATAAATATATATATATTCTTTCAAATTTCTTAACTAAAGGCCAATAAACATCATATAGCATTAAAAAAAATTACAAAAATGTTTACTTGGTAATATGAGAATAATGTTATAACCTTCAAAAAAAATTTTTTTTTCAAAAATACATATTTATTATAGAAGATATCAAACTACCAAAATTGGTTCCAAAGTACTCTCTATTTCTTGCCAATGAAAATAAGTCAATGTAAATTAATTATTAATGTTTTAACTTTAATTTTAAAGTTGGAAAAAATTATTAAAATCACAATTTTTAATAGAATACACTTAAAAATTATATATTGACTTGAAAATAAAAGTTTCCTCTATAATTGGATAACAAAATTACTAATATACAAATGCATTTGAAATCGCTGGTAAAAATATATATAGTTAAAATTTAATATGGTAATAATCTTAATTTTTCAATTAGTTTGCTGCAATTATTTTGACTTTTGGTGTCAACTATGGACTGGATATCAACTTTGGTAAAAAAAAAATTGTGTATTTTTAATAACTATATACCAAAAAAAAATTATTATTCTTAATTTAGCATTTTAAGCAGAGGAAAATTAAAAAAATTTAACTATTCACAAATATAATATATAATATAAATAGTAAGCTATTTTTTATTCATAATTAGGCAAAATAAAATTTTAGGCGCAAATTATGAGAATTTTTTTATAAACGAAATCACATCTTGTAACAAATTAAAATATTATAGTCCTGGATAATAGATATTTTTGCGGATTTGATCTTAGAAAAATTTCGTAGATATGCTATTTTTAATTTTAAAATAAATCGGATAGTAAAATAAGATTCGTAATCCTACCATGTATTTAGTATATGCCTATCCTATAAATTGTAAAACATTTTTGTTTCAAATATATTAGTAATTAATAAAAAATCAATTTAAATCCAGAATTGATTCAAATTTCCATTATAAAAATGTTTGAAATTCTACATAAGCAGGATTATAATTTCGGCAAAAACGAAGAGTTTTAAAAAAAATATGCGCAATTGATTTAATGCGTTTTAATTATACTCTGACTTCAAATAAACTAGACTATAGTACATATTAAAGTTTTCTTATTTTATTACAATATTACAAAGATATATCAAAAGGTGATATTGGACACAATTCTTATAATAAAACTGTAACTACAGTAAAACTTAACACAAATATAACAACATCGATAAGCACTAATATAACAGGAAAACGAAATCCAGATATTATTAGCACTCATAAAACTCCCAAAACAACTCCAATCCCTGGAAGTTACAAACTGAAAACGAAAAGACGGAAAACTAGGAATAGTAAACGGAAAACTACTAAACACAGAACTAGAAAGAGTAAACGGAAAACCCACAAAACTACTAAAACACCCAAAACTACTAGAACTCCTACAACTATTAAAGCCACAACTCACACAGTAACGACTACAACCATGATTCCTACAATATTGAATGTCACAACTCACACAATGACGACTACCACCATAATTCCTACAAATATGAGTACTACTACAATTCCGACTACGTATACTGCTCCTACAACTACGATCACTTCCCCCATTGGTTAATAATAGTTTTCTAATTTACGTAAAAATTATTTGAATAAAGAATATGTCTGTTTATTATATTAAATACTCTCTTAAACCTTTTATAAAATATTGACACATAGTAGTCATAATTATATTTATTTTTACAATTTTTTCATGTCAATTGTCCCATAAATTGTTATATATTTATGTTATAATTTTTAAACATTTATTAATATTATTATTTAAAATAAAATTTATTATATCTGAACATTTTAAACAAGGCAATATTATATTATTCATCGTGAAATGTAAATTTTATTGCATTGTACACTAAAAAATAGATAAAGAAATTTCTAAGATTACAAATATAAATTCATATTTTGCAACTATAATCAAACAAATATATTTCTCTATTTATAATTTATAACTTATATTGAAATCAAGTGGATTATATAAGTACAATTGTATATGGTATTCAAATATATTAGCATGTAAAATGATAGTAAATCTATTTGGCATTAAACATTATTTTTTTATGTATTTTTCTTAAAATATAAGATAGCATCGTAAACTATCTATCAAAAAAAATTTGTTTCCGTGTAGCACGTGTGGCTCAGACGCTGAAGACTTTGAAGCGCCCAGTAAGTTTTGATCTAAGTTCTATTTCAGAGGAGAAGACAAGTTTTTTATGAAGCATAACAAGGTATTTCCATGTTAGGGGATAATTACATGACAGACCCGTATGTGTGGGCGGTAAGACAAATACCCCACTCCCCTTCAGAAGCCAAAAATTGCAGATACTAGATAAAATATTACTGATGCATATAATATCTTATCGCATATATTTTAAAATTTTATTTTTTACTTCAAGGCAGATTTTGAATATGCTATTAATTTATTTTATGATATAATATAGATTTCAAATTTTTCTTGGCATAATATATCTAACATTTTCTCCAAAATCATTTAAACTTTTCCACTGCAAAACTAAAGTAAAATATTTCAAAAAAATTGACATCATATTGGTTGAGACTCAATAGCTGAAAGCATTATATTATAACTTGAGGAAATTAAGGCAAATGTAGATGACGAATTTCATCGATTATATGTCATGTGTTTACTTCGTCTCGCAGCAAGGCCAGATGATCGTTCCAATATAGTGTTAGTCAACGAATACTCTTAAATAAATCTCTATATCTCCCTCTTCTATATTTTTATCACTAAAATGAATGACGGTTCTTGATTAATGCGAAAATTATAAATTTGGGTATTATTAGCGCAGAATTTTTCGAATCTATTTCAAATCTTGTTAGAGAAACATCAAATATTTGACAGATTTTTATTTTGAGGATGTTAAAGTATCCCATAATGTATTACTAACTAAATGCAAACTATGGTATAAAAGGTTTCCAAAAAATTCTATAAATGTTTCGCAAAATTTCAAACACAATTTAGATTATTTTAGTGTATAAAAATTATTATATATTTTTCCACCAATGAAATAGCATTTTAACGATAATGACTTAAGAACAGTGTTATTAAACGTCTCGATTTTAGCCGATTTTTAAAAACGGCCAACTCAATATTTTCTATACCTTAAAATTTTGCAAATAGATGTCCGAATCCTTGTTCTTCAGATTGCAATATATTATTCTGGATAATATATTGAGTTTCCCAATTGAACCGTTTAGCAACACCACCGAAAAGTAATACCTCGTTAAATTAGCGTATCCCTTCTTAATATAATTTATATTGTTTAAATCATGACAAAACAAAAACAACCAAAACTTTCAGCTAGACCGTTTAACTTATTTGATATGCTATTAAACACAGCGCACTCAATCAACCTTGATAAAAATTTATTAATAGTTTTTACAAAAATATTATTTGCCTCTACTTGGAAAAATATATATTCGTCCTTGACTGTAATATCTATGTTAAATTTTATGTCAAAGAAATGAAAAGTTAGAGAAATAAAAACATTTATTTTTTACTCATCCATCCATTGATTTTATTTTTTTTATTAATAAAATAGATTTTGTTTTTTTTGAGTATTCAACTTTTTATTGTATTTTCGTCTAAATCCTAGGTAGATCTCTCTTTATATTTAAAAGAAATCCCCAAAGTCTATCTATTTCAGCTTAAATAAAATACTGCTATAATTTTAGTGTATAAATGGTTGATCCTAACGCTTAACTATATATAAATGAATTCTTCTTTATTTGATGACGAGTAAATCAGAATATTTCCCATTTATTTATTGATGTATGAATTAGAAAAATAGCCGCTCTTTTATGAAGTGTGAATCATAAATTTACCTTTATTTTGATGAGAGGCGATTTAGATTTCTTATTATTTTTGTAAAATATTGAATTATAAATTTAGTACTTTCAATATGAAAAAATTAGATCATATCTTCAATTATACTATTTAATATATTACATGATAATATTGCAATTATGTACATATTAAAAAATCTTTTAGACCGTGTCCTAGTGAGCTTAAACTAAATCGCCAAAAAAGCAAATAAAAATTGTTTTTAAAAAAACCACAAAAAACTACAATAAACAAATAAAAGAAAGAAAAACAACGAAAAATACAGAAAATAACAATGTCACCAAATACTTATAACAAACCAAAATAGAGTGACTTGTTCAAAAACATTTTAGCCAATAATAAAAAGCAATTAGGTATCCAAATTAAGTAGACCCAGAACCTTAGACTACATTTTTATACATTGTGTAATTTATTAATATAAATATATAATCTGGCTAGGGTTTTATATTGTATAGTAATATATCGAAGATATAAGTTGGAAAACACTGGGAGAAAGGGATAGAACGATTGACGGAGTAACAATAATAACGCGAATAATTTTTTAACTCTTAAGCATAAAGACCTTAAATTTTTTTGTGAAGATGTATTTTATATCAAATATCTTACCTTATTCATCTTTAGGAAAACTTTCTGGTTTGAAATATTTTCCCAAAAAACCGTTTTTTACCAAAAAATAATTAAAATTTACCGTAGTTTAATTTTCTTTTATCAGGCTCATAATTTAAAAATTTGTATAGATATTCATCAGAGCTATAAAATAAAATTTATCGGATATCTAATAGTTTAACTAGAAGTCACTCAATTTGTATAATATATATTACGTTGAGGTAAATTTATTATGGGTTAAACGGTTAAAATGTTCCATCTGATTGATGTTGTAATAAAAATAGTGGCAAAGTAGAGTAATTTATTCGTAGAAATGCATGCCTAAAATGAACACACTCAAAATGTGCTATTTTTGGTAAATATTTTTACATTTTCATATTGTATTAAATTGTTATAAAAATTGCACTATTTTATTCAATAAAATAATAAAGTTTGCTTAATTTTATCTAAACTTCTTTACTCTAATGCTTAGAGCAATTTTTCCCTGATATACTGTAAATGGCTAAAATGCGATACTTTGCCTAATATATCATAGCTCCCAAAGTATTATACATACATTTTTTTAAATTTTGTAAACAGGGTATTTGGCTATATATAAATATTTAATTTGTTCTATTATATTTTTTTTCAAAATTTTATGATTAAAAACAAAAATTTGTGATTTCTTTAGTAAGAATAATTGAAACTCTTGGAGAATAGATTGAAATAGAAAAAAACGTGATTTTTTTTATATAAATTGTTAAATTGATTTTTTTATATAAATTATTAAATTAATATGTAAATTGATTTTTTGTTTGTTACATGCTATATAAGCATTACATTTTCAGTTTTCGAAAAGATATAGAATTTTAATAATAAATAAAATAAAATAAAAAATTAAACTTGTTATACCTATGATCAGTATCGCAGAAAACTTTATGGTGACAGTTCCGCTACATATTCGAAGAAATCGTAAATAAATAAATAAATATGATACAGATTCCCAATGATAATGTTAATATAAATATTGAATTTCCAATATACTCTGGCAATGGCGATCTTTTTTTGAGTAGATTCGAAGATATTTTCAAGGACACTCAGATCTCGGACATCGAAAAAGCAGGTTCCTTTACAAGAAGACTACCAGATGAGGTATATATCAAGCTCAAATCATATCCCGCGTTCATTTTTTATAAATTAAGCATCTTTGATAGGGAACACTTAGGGGCACGTTTTTAGTCATGTAAAAAATATTTATTTTTAAATTTAAAAAATCATCTAATTAAGCTAAATACTATTCTATATTAATATCATTTAAATTCTTTGATATGGGGGGGGGGGCGTAGTTTCCGGGGGCGCGTATTTTAGTCATGCCACTCTTAAATATTTTATATTTTCCAATATTTTATTATTTGTATTGCGAATCGTTATTATTTATAATACGACTGGTACTAATAAATTTTATGCGATGATTAGTTCTTATAAATTTTTAATGTTCCAAAGTAAACACTACAATATAAAGCTAGGGTTCATAGGGATTGGGATTCATATTTTAGTAATAAATGAGGTGTTGTTTAATATTTTAATCATTTATCACTTTAAAATTATTATTTTTTAATCATATTCATGATTCAAAATTTATTATATTAAATTAATGCTTAATTAGTGAGGATTCGCAGGTTCACTGTTATTCGTATTTAAGCCTTGCCAATTATGATGTGATATAACTTGATAAAATTAGTCATTTATATTATTGATCTTATAAATTTAAACAAAAATTATAATTTTGGATAAATTTGAGCTGATATTCATTTAAAAATAGGAAAGAATCATTTGAATTCCTATAATTTTTAATATGTTTACAGTTATATTCCATGTAAAACCTCCAGTTTTTCAATATGAAGTGACATTTGATGAAAAAATACCTCAAGTACATACAACATATGTCTCATTATTAAGCAAATCCTCCCCTTCTCCACTGAGCCAATGGCAATTTTACTCCCCCATTCTTTAAGATTAGCATTAAAAAAAGGAAATTTAAATCAAATTAGTAACAATAATAAAGAAAATCTAAATTAAAATTAACAAAAAAAATGAATTAATAGGCATTCCTGCATCTTTAAAATTCATTTACCCCCTCCGCCCTCCTTTGTTATAATGACGACAGTGTCTTCAT